GCCTTCTGCCAGTCTCTGCAACTGGCACCAAAAGATCTCTGGGGAATGTTTCTGTACTGCCAAATTTCAGCAGAGTTCCCTGCCACATGCCCTGAGCTTGGGTGAAGCTGGCAAACAGCGGGGGAAGATAAGAGCTGCTGTTTCCACCCTGCCAGCTCACCCGGCCAACTCATCTACAGATAATTCCAGCACAGTCCGTGCACCTTCAACCCCCTCTTCCTGGAATAAATTCACTCAGCAAAGCCCAGAATTGCCATAATTTGCATTAAGTTTGATTGGCGGGAATCTGTCTTTACTGGAGTGATGCTGATTTACATGAACCAGAAGTACAAACATTCCTTACCTGGAACCTGGGCAATTCCAAAATGCTGGAAATGCAGAGATCCAGGCACCTGCTACCTTGTAAGGTGCAAATGACCTGTTTGCACTTGTTAAAGACATTACCTAAACAAAAATTTTACTATAAACCTGTCTTTTATATTATCTCAAATATTAAAAAGGCCTTGGCAGAAGTTTCTACAATATGATGATCTTCACATAAAAAACAGGAACTAGTAAGATTCACAAATTTTTTCCCCCCCAAACCAGTCTTAACTGACCTGTTACTCTACCGTTTAAGTGGCTGTGGGTACTGGGGCAAAACTCCTTATATTTCAACACTGATGACTGCAAGTTATGAAAAATTTATTAAAGAAATCACCCACTTAGTCTATTAAGTTCCTGAAGTCATAATAAATGAATGAAATACTTCCATTAAAAAGAGTGGGATAAAGTGTCTCCTAAGTCCCAACTGCACTGAACATCATCACAAGGTGTCTGTAACCCTTGTTAAATCCACTGATTGTAGTACTTCATACAAAAAGAATCTGCAACTTAGATTCAGTTTTAAACTGGAGGAACTTACTTGCTTGTGTGCTCTCCCAGAAACTGGAATTTTCTGTATTTTTTAATTAATTCTTTTGGGTTTTGTGGCTCACCAGTTAGAAGCACACTGAAAATTCTCACGAAGGTTAATTTTTTTTAAAAGTTTGTTTTCAGTGAAGCAGTTAAAAGAATTAATACATAGACATAACAACTTTCGGTCATCTTGACACTGAATGTTATTTAAGGTTGCTGCTACTTAGTTTTGAAGTGGGATAGCTACATCAAAATCAGCTTCCAAGTGCTCTGAAAACATGGAGCAGAGCTGCAGCAGTGCTGACTGGCTGTTCAGCACTCTGAATGGCGCCATCCACTCTGCTGATGCTTAAAAGCTGTCACTTCTTGTATTCCAACTGGTCAACTTTATAAAATCCAGAACTGGAAGCACCTTACGTAAGCTGATTTTCTAATACTGCATTCATTCTAATTATTCCTGTTATTTAATATGCCATAAGTTCCTGGAAGTGAATAGGAATACTAGGAAAATTACTCAGGTTTTGTTTTGCATATACCTTAATCTTTTTTAAAAGTATTATCTAGTGGATATTTGAGCATCTCCAAATTGTGTCTCATGTCAGGATCCCTGGCAGCTAAGGCCTGTAGATAGATGAATACAGGTAATAACTGTGTATATTCATTCTGCCTGATGGAATCCTCACCTGTAGAACTGCCCAAAAGTGTGGTATTTCACTTTTTGCAGTGATGAAATCTCTAAGTATTAAAAGCTGCACTGTTCACTCTATAGCAAATTCTTTCTCGCTGCACAGAAACATTTAAAAAGAAACAATATGTCATGTTTTCCATATAGAAGCTCTTACAGAATTCAGTGATAAAGCTAAGTCAGGAAGGGGTGGAGCAGCACATCAGTGCCACTCATGCACTGTTAACAAAGTTAACAAAACAAGGCTGAGTTTATGGAGTTAACCCGTGCAGAGCCCTTGGTGCAGCAGTTCCCCAGCAGCTGCCAGGAGGGCACAGCCACTGGCAACCCAGCTCCCACAGAGGCTCCACTGCAGAGAAATGAACAGCACAAAAAGGCAGGATTTATCTGCAGTGGCAGATGTACCTGGCTGATAGCATCTGTATCTCTTCCACACAAATCTTTAGGGGCTGCAGTGCTGGGCTATCTCCTCTCCACAGAACTTCCACCCTGGGGTAGTTGGTCATTACAACCTTCCAGAGCACCACGACACTGCCACTCTCCACCAGTTCTAAAGGGCTCCCAAACACACCACTCAGCTGTTTGGATTATGGTCTCCAGAGTAGCTGATCTATTTTGTCTTCCTTTATTGGAGTATACTATCTGTTCTCATAAGCTTTAAGCTGCTTAGAAATTGAGAGGGAGAAAGAGAAACTAAAGCAAATACAATTATTCATTTCTAATGGATACACACGTTGTTTGGAGCAACCTTCTATGAACTCTAAAAATAGAAGAAATTTCTGCAGTTCTAACCTATTAGAGAATATGCACATCCTAAAAAAGTTGCCACACCCTAAAATCCAGTTTTCCTCCTTCCAAGCAAAAAGCCCATCTGAACTCATTTCTTGATGCTTAGTGACCCGTGGCAGCAATTTGCAGACTTACTTTTGACATGGCCTTATATGAACTCAGATTCCCAAAGAGTTGAACAATCTAAACAGAAACCAAATATGCTCCTGACATTGTTAGTAATTATATTACATTAATAATTTTGCATATTTATACATTCAATAATAACAATAATAAATAACAACAAAAGTTCAAAACAGGAGGGGAAAAAAGCATCTATTTAGCAGGTTACCAAGTGGCCAGGGCAGCAAGCAGATTATCATGGCACAAGTGGGATCTGAATCACCAGGTAGCTGCTATGCAAATGATTTACTACAAAGATGGTACTTACAGAATGAGAGGATAAAAAAATGAAACAGAGGTTGCCAACATCTGTGAAACAATAAAAAAGGTCACCCACCCACAGGAAGGAGCTCTGAAGACAACATGTATTCAGAATTTCTGGGAAAACAGAGTGAGCAACCTCAAAGGGAAACCAAAGCAAAATGCAAAGACCAATGTCAGGAACACGGGTATCTCTGTACTCGTGCTACATGAAACAGAAATGCACCCTTAGAGTTCTTGAGAATGTAATCTTTATTGCTGATTCAAAATACCAAAACAGCCCGAGATATCCCACAGGAAAGTCACAAAGTAGAAGTGAAAGTGTGTCATGCTTGGAAGCCCTGTCATAAGTTGGATATGATACTGTGTGTGTCATATGAGCAAATAATGACGGGAAGAACAGTGTTAATTGTAAGGGAGTCATCAGGGAGAGGTAAAGAGGAAAACATTGGCCAGGAGATAGGAAACTCAAGGGGTATTTTAAGAAATCAGGAAATGTACATAAGAATTTATGCATGGACAGAAGGAATGTTAAAGGAAAAACATTGGTCCAAGGGAAGGCAATTACCTATAGAGCTGGAAATGGGTTCACAGCACTCAAATTGTGCAGAATCAAGTGGGAGTAGGCAAGAGTTGGGTTATATAAGTAAAAAATCTTGGGTTTATTTTAATTATTAATTATTATTAAGTATTAAGTATTGCTATGCTGCTATTAAAGCAAGTTATATAGCAAAGGGGAAAGGTTTAGAAAACCAAAACTTGAGCCTAATAAAGGGTGAAATCAGCAGGACCAGAAAGTTGGGTGACTGCTCTTCCATGAGTTGACTTGCCATGAGTGGCAAATCCCATTCCCTTTCTTTCAACTGACCCACTTTTGCTTTTTGATTTGTACTTTTTAAAATATTCAACACAGGCTTATTATAGTCAATCCTACTTTGAATCAATTATCCCTGTTGTTTGCTCATGCCTTCTTTCACCTTACATTGCACTGAATTAACCACATTATAAATGGTACCAGTATCAATTATGAACTTCCCCTGCCAAACTGGTCAATGGTTGCACCACAAAGACATAAATGATAGGGTTGGAAGGGGTTTGTTTTTCAGCCCAGCCCCCAGTATCAAGCAGGATTTTCTTCTCCACTCATGTTAAAAGCATTTTATCTGAGCTGTATCATTACATTCTAAACAGCAGCAACTCAGCAACTGCATGAGAAAAATATATTCCTACTTGCTTGCACTGCTGCATTTCCACCCCCCCCCATCTAACCTGAGCTATTTAGTTTTACTTTTCTGTATATCCAGTCTAGAAGTCATTTGCTAATCCCTATGGTATGTATATAAGCTAGTAAGCCTAAAGAAATGTCATGTTACCCAGAGTGAGAGGGAACAGCAATGTGACACTTCACTCTCCAGCACTTGAGAATTCAGTGTGTTCCCCTCGATATACAACTAATTGCAGGTTCCTAATTTTCCAAAAATATTGATCATCCATTATTTAAAGTTTTAAGAGTTAATCCATAAGTAATATTCAGCATGTCCCTTTCAAAAAGCAGCTTTCAAACCCTGATGAGGAGCTGACAATCTATTAAGTCATGGTTTCTATATATACATACAGAAGTTCTGGCTGTGAGTTTTTGTTTGCTCAGTCTAGATCCGAAGCAAATCTGTGCTGCCCAGCAAAGCTCTGTGTAGAGCTCCCGGCCTTCCCCTAGGCAGCACCAGTTTCAGTCTGTAGGAATTGAGATCCTGCGGGAACTCAAGAGGACGTGACAAAGGTACAAGTGTTTGGCATGTTTAGAGACTTACCTTGTTGGCTTTATTAGCTATGTATTTTACTAGCTATTAGTTTATAATGACACCACAGCTTGTGAAAACACACTCAGAAGTCAGATAAACCAGGTAAGAGCTACATCACAGACACATGATAATAGAGCAAGTAGACAAACCATGTGTTGTATAAACGGAAAAATCTGCAGAGAAAAGAGACAGTGCTGCAGCTGGATGAAGGGTTGGTTTTTTTAAGTCAAATAAAATAATCCGAGCATGGAATGGTCATGCTTCAAACTCTGACCTAACCTGCTCTGCAACTTAGTGCTGCATTATGAATGAAAATGACTGAAAAAGCCTGACTGCAGCTATGGACTGTGTAATACAACTCACCAGAACTTCATTTTTTTTCTCATTATTTTAAGTTAGTTTTACGGATCTTTCCTAAAATAATATTTGCCACCAAGTGCTCTCAACCTTTTGTGCTGCATTGCAAGAAATTTTTTCCTAAGTACTTAATGGGCATTGTTATCTAAATAAAACCACCTTCAGCTTTAATGGAGTGTAAGGAAATTGGCTTTTGGCCAAGTATGAGCACTCTGAAAGTGCTTCTACATGAATACCTTTCCTATTTTGCTGTTTCCTTGGTGAACTTAGGATGATCAAAGTCCTTCTGAAGTTCTGAAGCACCAAAAACGTGATGCCACGGTTTGTAACATGGAATTATCCACAGCACATACACAATTCTGTCTGTGGACTATCTATCAAACAGGAATGGGGAAATTTTCTGCTTTTGGGGGCCGCAGCAGTTTTACAATATTCGTAATGAACATTTAAATACAAACTGTGGTGAGATAAAGAAACTCAAGACAAACGGGATGACCATTTTTAGATTTCACAGAATACTCGGAGCTGGGAGGGACCCACAAGGATCTAGTCCAAGTGTTAAGCAAATGGCCCATGTGGAGATCAAACCCACAATGTTGGTGCCAGCATCATGCTCTAAACAACTGTGCTAATTGCAGGTTTAGTGTTTTTCCAGTATTTATTTAATTAACAGCTGCTTATTTTTCCAATAAGGGACGCTACATTGGTGTTTATTTGCTATGGAATAAAGCTTCAGAATTTCTAAATATAAGACAAATTATTTTGAAAAAGGCAGCTCTCTGTTTTGGTTGGTGATATCAGTTGGAAACATACTTCAAAGGTAGTCCCTTTTCATTAGTCTGAGGAGTTTCCATATAAACAACAGAACAACCACAGGAAAAAATTCATTATGGGATAAATGATCAATCTGCAGTTCAAAAGCTCTTTCAAGAAGTGATCCATTATAAAGTTGTGGAAAATATAAACATTCACATCCATTAACTGCAAGTAATATGCAAATATCCTTGAGATTAATCAACTTTTTTAAAAAGGAAGCAGAATGGAACTCGTAACACCATCACAAAATGAGGGTTATGTTTTAACACCTTTTCACGACACCAAAACAATCTCCAAATTCAAAGTAAACACTCAGAAACTTTCCTTCCTACATTGTTTTACAAGCTGGTTTATGTTTGCCAGTACCACAAGCACCTGTGTACTTTGTAGTACAGGAATTTTTAAATACCGATTATTCAGGATATATGGCCTATGAAAATGAAACCTCAAAGCTACATATTCTCATCCGGAGTTAAAAATAAAACCCACGCTCTTGAGTGAAGGCTGCTGACTGCACTTACAGGGAATGGCACGGGCTCTGCAGAACCCCAGCACCGATGACAAAACCATAACAAACCGGCACGCTCACGGATTTTAAGCAGCAAATCCAAAACCCAGGGGACTACAAAGCGCGCTGGATCCAACAGCTCCGAGCGCAACCTCTCACTTCTAGAAACCGGCTGTAAACAGGGGAAGGGAGGGGCCAGGCGCCTGCCAAGCCAAGCAGAAACTTGTGAGTAACTTCGAGAGGCAAAACAAGTGCAGCGCCGGCAGCGCGGTGCCGGGCCGGCAGCATGAGCCGCGGGACAGCCGCGCCGGGGCCCGGCGGCCGGACCGGGACCGGGACCGGGACCGGGACCGGGGCAGGGCGGCGAGGGGCAGCGGCACACGGCGAGTGAAGGTGAGGGGCAGCGGCACACGGCGAGTGAAGGTGAGGGGCAGCACGGCGAGTGAAGGTGAGGGGCAGCTCGGCCATTGACGGTGAGGGGCAGCGGCACACGGCGAGTGAAGGTGAGGGGCAGCGGCACACGGCTATTGAAGCTGAGGGGCAGCGCACAGGCGAATGAAGCTGAGGGGCAGTGGCACACGGCCACTGAAGCTGAGGGGCAGCGCACAGGCGAATGAAGCTGAGGGGCTGCGGAGCGCGGCGGGCGGGACGCGCGGCGCCGCTGGCCCTGCAGAGGGGCGTCCAGCGCGATCCCGGGGTCAGAACGGAGGATCCGGGCAGCGCCGGGGCACCGTAAACAAGAGGCTGCTGCAGCCTGCAGTTGTGCAGCAGAGGCGACAAGAAGCTGCTGCAGCCTGCACTAGTGCAGCAGAGGCGACAAGAGGCTGCTGCAGCCTGCACTTGTGCAGCAGAGGCCGCCGGGCAGCGCGGACCCGGGCACGGCAGAGCCGCCTCGGCAGCGACACGAGGCACGGCTGAGGGGAAACGCCGAGCGCGGCCTGCGCGGCACAGCCAGCAGGGTCAGTGCCTCCGCTCTTTCGCCTTCAGCCGCAGAAATACCTCACCTGGGAGCTTCAAAGTCGTCAAGGAGGTTTTTTGAGGAAGTGTTTTAATTTTGGTGTTTATTTTTGCTCATTTCGGAGGTAAATGCTGTCGCTTTCCTAAGATTAGTATTGAACAGACATTTCTGTCATTAAAACAGAATTGTCCCGTTTAACCGCACTTAGAGGATGTAAAGAAAGAATAAGAGTAATGACTAAGACCATTCCTGAAACCAGACATCCCCCTGCTCTGTAAAATACAAAGCCTGGTAGCAAAGACTGTTGATGTACTCAGACAATATACAGGCATGTTATTCAGTGGCTGATGTAATTCAGTCTGGAGTAACCAAAGCTAAATGCTTAAGGATAAACCTACATAATGGAATTACGTGATTGTACCCATGCCCGTGCTTAGTCACCTTTGCACTCACCAGAATGCATATATTTGCAATATCTAGTTCCAGTCTGCTGCTTGGCTTGAATCGAGTCATAACAGTTCAATGAGATAGAGTTTTGGTTCCTTTCAACTGCAAAAAAACAGCTTTTCTTTTTCTTTCTTAAACACCTAAACCAACAGATGCTTCCTGAAAACAAATTGGGTTGTTCTCGGTGCTCAAAAATAGAATGAGGATAGAGAGACAACATAAAGATATGATATGGTCCACTCAACACAACAGTATAGCTGAAGAACTGATGTGAGAAAATAAACCAAAAAAAAGTCAAGTTTTCCCACAAAGGTGAAAACAACCTTTGAAAGCAATAGAACTTCTGATGTTGCCACAGAAGGCACTTCTCTGAAGAAATCCAGCATGGGACAGTGGAATAAAAATTTGCTTGCCCAGCTAAAATTAGTGTATTTTTAACCTGATTTTATGTTATTAAGAAGAAAATGCAAACAAAACAACTACAGTGGGAAATAAAATATGGAAGTTGACACAGTTTTGGGACAGATTCTGTACTGTGGCTGAAGAGTCAAAGGATTAGCACCAGGGAGATGCAGTCACGTACCCGCATGCTCACGGACCCCACACAGTATAATTTAGCCATCTGGTTCATGGAGTATAGCATGTTGTCTAGTAGCATTCATTTTCATTGCACAATGTTTATTGTGGATTGATTAAATCTTGCTCTCCCTCTGGAAAGAATCCAGGTACTTGTACTTACACTTTGCTATAGGTGCTGACAGAGGAGCACACAGAACCACGGGAGTGTGTGACAGGCAGAGTTGGTGAGGTGGGAAGTCACCTGCTGCACCAGCTCTACGCTGCCGCTGAAATGGGCTGCCATGAATAACAGCCATGATTTTAAGGCTGTGCCTGTTCTGAGTTGTACTTCAGAGATTATTTCTCGTTCCTGCATTTTGGAAAGCGACTTTACACAATTGCTTTGAAGTCACTTGGTTTCAGTTAAAATGCTATCTCTACTGACGATAAAGCAAAGATGGCTGGGCCACAACTGCTGATAGTAGCATACTTTTTAAAGAATTCGAGCTATTTTGAGAGAAAATGATAGCTGATTCTTGCCTTTTTGGAAAGTCAGGCTGCCCTGATATTAGGTTCCCTGGACTACAGAGGTCCATTGTTTTTTTGAAACTAAATGGTTGTAAGGTTGAAAGTCTGAATACAAACTGACCTATTTAAAAAAAAAAAAACCAACAAAAAAACACCAAAAAAAACAACACAACAAAACCACTCCCCCCCACACCTCATTTCCCAGTATCCTCTATTCTTTGTCAATTTTATCAGCGATCCAGTACACATCCACCATAGTGCCTTGGATGTGCCTCCTAAGAAACTTTTTTTTAAGGTAAAGATTACTTAAGATGTTAGATCTCTATTTTCCATCATATTCAGTTTCTATCCTTCCACTCTTCAATAGTTACCCGTATGTATTTTGAGCTATATACAAGGTACTGTTTGACAATTTTTTAAAAATTGCATTAGTATTCATATATACATCAGTACTTAATGATAGTTTACAGTTTACTTCTGTTGAGTGCCTGTATCAACTAATTTGCCACTAGTTTCATTTAAATGAAAACTGCAGAATATGTACCAGTCTAATAAAATTTTGAATAAGTTTACTTTCTTCTAGACTAACAACATCAGTTATGTGAACCATATAATCCTAAAGTTCAAGATGTTTTCTTCACAGTACTTTCCATTTCATTTCCAATGCAATATTTTAACAACATTTTCACTATTTCTCTCTCTACAGAAAAGCTGGTAACCAGCAAAGAAGTTAAAAAAGCTAAAATCACTATGTGGAGCTGTGAAGCCTTAATCAACAGTACTGAGAACAGTGAGGACCAGCATCTCTGCCATGACTTCGACCTTGTGCTTTCCATCTTTTCCCTTCTCTACCTCATTATATGTTTCCCAATTGGCCTTTGTTACAATGGCCTGCTGGTCCTAGTCAACCTCTACAACAAAGCTACTATGACTATGCCAGATGTTTACTTTGTCAACATTGCCATTGCTGGCCTCATCATCAACACTCTGGCACCAATGTACCTGCTGGGTCTTGCCAATACAAAATGGGCCATCTGGAATTCCAACAATGAAGTTTATATCACCTTCCTTATTTTATTCAATGTCTCATCGCTGGTTACCATGTACTCTACCACACTGCTCAGTCTGGACTACTACATCGAGCGGGCCCTGCCCAGGACTTACATGTCCAGTGTGTACAACACCAAACACGTCTGCGGCTTCATCTGGGGCGGGGCCATGCTCACAAGCTTTTCATCTCTCCTGTTCTACGTCTGCAACCACGTGTCCACCAAAATAATCGAGTGTTCCAAGATGCAGAACCAGGAAGCAGCAGATGCCATCATGGTGTTCATCGGGTACGTCGTTCCCGCCGTCGCCGTTCTCTACGCGCTGACGCTGATCCTGCGGATACGCAAGGAGGCCACGCCACTGGATCAGGACACTGGGCGCTTGGATCCGTCAGTGCACAGGCTGCTGATTGCCACAGTCTGCACACAGTTCACCCTCTGGACACCCTATTACGTTATTCTCTTGGTAAGCACGTTTACTAACCTACGAGGAAGAATCCCAGATGTAAATTCCATTCAGATATTACACTTTGCCACGATTTTGTCAAAATTCCTGGCTTTCTCCAGCAGCTTTGTCATGCCTCTGCTCTACAGATACATTAACAAAAACTTTCCCAACAAATTACGGCGTTTGCTGAAAAAGATACACTGTGGGAACCAGGGGTGTTCTCACGAGCGCACAGTGGTACAGCAGGTCATGACATAGGTGTGACACAACCCCTGGTGCTCTGTGACTGCAGCACTGGCTGCTCACTGCTGGGACTGTGACACTGCTGTGTTGGCACTCAGAGATGTTTGAGAGTCCCAACCAAGAGGCTGGAAGGAGCTTTCATTGCAGCTGAATGCAACAGTCTTAATTTTCCAGTAGTTGTTGGCTGAAGCGGTGTGAGGCTCTGGCCTGTGTGCTGCATTACCTGTGACATCAGATACCTTCAGTGCACTGAACTGCTGACAAAAGATAAACTCTGGTTTCATGGCTCTGATCTTCCTGTCTGAAGAAATCACTAGGCAGTTAATTGAAGTCTTGACTGAAGACACAGCACCTTGTATCTTGTATAGGAAAAGGTATTACCTTGTTCTCTGTACAAAGAAGTGATAGTGCTATCCTTGATGAAGTAAATAGCATTTTTCAATGAAGATTATATAGTTGATCTTTACTGAAGATCATATTACCCAATTATACATGTCCAAATAGTAAATGTTAATTATAAATTAAATTATTTAATTTCTTTCTCCATCACTGATTCCCCTAATTTACTTTTTTCAGAAATTATTTTCTCACACAAACTAACCTGTTTTAATGTTTATGATAAACTGATTTTTCTTTCAGCTACAACAAATAACAAAAATATGTTTTAATTTTCCAGTGCTTTGTTTGTATCCTAAAACATTTCAGGAATTCAGAAATATTTATTAATTAATTCTGATGGAACTTAGAGATGTTTGTTCCACATACTAAAATGAAGGACACAGTGGTTTACAAAGTTAAATCAGAACTTAACTAGTAAAGATTGTCTGGCTAAGTGTTATGGTCCACATATGTTCATGTAACAAGAGTAATTATCTTAAAAAATAAATATGTTTATGATTAACATTTTGTATTTTCAAGGGATATGTTTGCAACAAATAAATTAAACTCTTGTTAATCTAGGACATCACTGGCGGTCTGGAAACCATATAAAATTCTTCAACATAGGAATCCCAGTCAGCATCAGCTCTTTGCTGACCTCTCAAAAAAGCCTTCCACTGAGATTCTTGGATACACAGTAAAGTTTAGTTTCACAGTAGATTGGAAGAAATCCAATCCAGATCACCAGATTTTACTGATTGTATGAAATATGTGAGAAACACAGACATGTTGCAGGAAGCACATAAACAGTTACAAAAACAAGCTACAAAGTACTGACCCAAAAACTACCTGTTCTTGTGCTGCTGTTGCACTAATGACAGGAGGGGACAGGAGGGGGATGCAAGGGAAGCTGACACTCTCCCACTGCTGTGGGGCCACGAGACATTTTTGTCACTTAATACATGCTACAGCATTATTTTATTGCTTAATCTGTTACAGCACAACTCAAATTCCACATGACATTATTTAAAAAATGTGACTCTCAAAGCTTCTGGTGTAGAAAAAACCATGAAGCAAGATCAGAACTGAACCTTTCCCATTGCTTAGAGCACAATCTTGTCTGGTAACTGGCCCTAGTCTGTCAGCAGAGACACATACTGAAGTTACATGGGAAAAGCAGGTGAGGGACAGACCTTTCAGATCTTTTCCCATCAAGCAATTTCTTCCCCTGGTCATCTTTGCTTTTCTTCTTTATATATACACATCTCTAAGTTAGCAACATCCTGGTGGAAGACTTTCCATCAGTCATTACTTTTTTAAGAGCTTTTCATATTTTATTGAATATTTTTTACAGAGTAAATAATCTATTCCTGTGGTGTTTTCAGTTTTAGCCTGTTGATGAAAACCATGTTAAGGACTGAAGCTGTTCCTTATCACCATGTCCAACTCACTCATTTCATGTCCCTGTGCTGACATTTGTGACACTGGCTGCTTTCTTGGTTTTGTCCTCCTTGAGAGATTTTCAGTGAATTTCTACACATCTTGAGCATTCAAGCTCACTTCCATACAGAAGTGCTTAAGAATAAAATCTTTCCTTACAGCTGTCAAGCAAACAGACTCCTTCTTCCCATCTGAGGAACACTAGGTTTCTTAAAGCACCACATGAAATCTCTCACGTAAAATCTGTTAAAGAAATCCTGTGCCATTATGCAGGAGGAGTTCCAGCAGGGAGGAACTGGCTTATCTGCTGTGAATAGAGGCTTTCAGAACTGGGACACTGCCAGAACAGTGCAGCTGAGCAGGCAACTTTTAAGTGCAATTTCAACTTCCATGTTGCATCCTTACTTCTATTTCCTCCTTCTCTTAAGACATCTGATTTTCTGTCTCTAAAAGAACTGTTGCCTTTATTTCTGTTCCTTTCTCTCCAAGTTAAATTCTCAGTTTCAGACCATGGCTCTTGTATCATTTCTCTTTATCGATTTTCACTTCTCTGCATAATTTATTTAACTTTCATTTCTCTCCCATCTCTGCTTGTCTTGCACACCTGGTACCATTCAATACTCATGTTTACTTCATCACACTGACTCCTTTACAATGATCCAGATCTTACTCAGTGATTCAATGTTACAAATTTGTGTAGTAAAATGGAAGCTGCTGTTAAAGATATGTAGAAAAACAGCTTTTTATGGAACTCACCCGTGGGGTATCCAGTCTGTTTCTTTCCTAATCTTTTTTACTGCAACAGAGCTACGGATGTTTGTCTATATCCTTGATAAATACTAAATGTGATGGCAATCATAGATACAATATCTTGGATAATTTAATGAACAAGACTGCTATCCAGTCAACCTCTTAGAAAAGTTAATTTGATTTATTAGTTGACTCAAAGAAACTGTGCCATGGATCTGCCTGGCTGCTGTTCTCCTAAGGGAATTCTGAACTTAATTGCAGCACCCTCACCTGGTATCTCTTAAAAAGCAGCATCCCAAAAAGAGAGAGCTTTGCAGTACTTATATAAAGAGCAGTAGAGGAGCAAGTGCAGTAAAATACTTAAGGAAATACAAGGTATAAATTAGGAAGAACTTTTATGGACTAACACTTAACACACAAAGTTCTCGAGAATGGGGCCTTTCCATTTCAAATACCTGAAGGTTTCTGGTGTAAATAGGGGCTTATCTATTACACATTTAAATAGATATGAATAAAAATACTGTATATATGCAAGATAAAAATCAGCCTACTGATGTAAAAAGAATCTGCAAAGAGTTTATTAAATTATTTCTAAAAATGTACCATTTAAATGTAAACCTCTGAACAGGCAGGTGTACTGTATGCTTCTGTATGTATATAATGTGTACTAGAAAGTAAGCACTAGTTAAGTGCCATTATTAACAGTATTATTTTCTCACAAAATTAAACTTAATATTTGAATTGATTTATGGCTTACAGCCCTCTTGCTGAACTGCTAATTAAGTCAAATCAAGGAACTAACAAAAATGTCATGCTCTGCTTCTAAGTTGTTAACACAGCTAGCTTGAGACAGGTCCTTAATGACCAACTTAGTAGAGGTCCTAGTTTCAAAAGTTTACATTTCAGAATCAAATCTTTTTGGTCTCTGAAGATTTAATTTCAGTTAATGAAAGAAGGTGATCAGCCACTAGAAAATTTCTGGTTCTGTTACAATGAAGAGATGTGGACTCCAGTATCATGTCAAAATACTACAAAAATGGACTTTCTGGAAAGCTTCATAAAGGAAGTATTGACTCATAATACATTCTCAATAAAAAGTGTTCAAGTGTACATGGTCAATAAAATGTGTGATTTTTTAATTTGCTTTCTTGATAAAAACATGTTGTAGACAAGGTTAAACCTATGTGGCTTCACTGAATCAAAACATAACAAATTGCACAACTTGGATGTCAAATTCCCAGGCCTTAATTTGACATTATTAAAATCTCATTGTTCATCAGCATGAAGTTGGCTGGGAATGAAAGCTAAAAGGCACATACCCTGCCTGACTTTTTTCAGAATAAAGAATCCTGCAATTAATGACAGAGTAACAGTGCACCTGGAGATCAATGCAAACATTGGCCACATCCTGACAACTTCCTTTCCTTTGTGCTGCCACAATCAGCTTCCTGCAGAAATTCTCTTGGTTCTCAGAACAATGTAATAAAATAACCCACACCTCTGGCATCCCAAAGAAAACACAGCTTATAAGAATCTAAGATACCTTGTTACACATTCATTGCAGTAACCACTGCACATAGCCAAAAGATTATTCCCCATGGATCAGTTCATATACCCTACATATATAAAAATATTTTCTTGGCTGTGCTTTCAAAATTATTCACTTGTTCCCTTTTGGTGTTCTGTGAAGCATAGGAAGACAGTAACAGCAAACTATTTTAAATTATTATTCGTAAACTCTTAAAAAAACAAAACCCTTGAGGCCAAGGCACTTCTAAGTTTTAAGTCTCAGTCAGAAATAAATGAAAATGGCAACTGTCAGAGTGGAAGTTGCAATATTCCACCATTTAATAAAGCCTAGTATCTGACAGGATGCCCTTACTTCCACACAGTGCTTTAAAGGGTGGTTTCTTTAACAGCAGAGCCAGCATCTCTGAACAAGTACAGAGCTGTGATTTTCTGATCCTTCATTCCACAGAGCTTTTGGATACAACCAACAAAAAGGCTGATTCTCAGCTGGATTAGTAAAACCCCTCACACACAACACAGACTGAAGGATCTTCAGTGAGAACAGTTAGTTAATAAGCAGCAAGTTCACAAGCTCACAGGTTGTTGAAGAGTGAACAACTACATAAATGCAAATAAAAAGGGTTGATCAGGTACAACAAAGTCAAGATGTTTACACCAGTACAAACCAGGCTGACACGGCACCTGAATCTGCCATTATCTGTCAATACAGAACCTCACAGAAGTCAACCACATTTTGGAGCACTCACAGAAAATACTCAACTCCTATATAATAGAAGAATATTTTTTGGTGAAAAAAATACGACACTGCTACCACAAACTCAGAAGGAAGTTTAATTACATCTGCACCTTTCTTTCCCTTGTTTAAAACTAAGATTCAATTAAATGCTTTTTGTCTGTGGGTATGTGCATCAGTAATGCCCCATTTATCACTGCTTAATAAAAATGAAAGCAGCCCAGTGTCTAGGCTGGAGACCTCGTGAGCTTCACTGCAGCAGCACAGGACTGGTAAGACCCCAGAAAAGCAGAACCTGCCCAAGTGCCACTCTCAGTTCCACTGTTTGCTGAGGACTCAGAGAGGAATTGATTCTTGCCTAAGTTTCTGCAGCTGTGAAGTGCTCAATGCACTGATTAATTCTAAACATCTGCTCCTAAATTAATTTTTATTGTCTCTTAATAAGCAAAATCTTGTGTATTTCTTGAGTATCTAGTGCAATACATTTGCCAAGTGAAAGCAATCAAATGGTACAAACCCAGCTGTGCAGACTGCCATGGCAACAAATCTGAAGTGTGAAATGTTTCCTCTGTTGAATTCCTTAAGTTTTCCATTATATAACAAAATACTTTGACATATGCTGACTACATTCTTTTTCCATCAGGAGAGCAGAGATCTATTATCTCCTTTGTCATCCCACTTTCTTCCCACCAAGTCCTTCCCTTACTTCGAAATTCCATGTGATTTCCTTATATTCCTTCCTTCGAAGGAACTGGCACTTTTAATTACATCTGCAAGAATTGTCAAAAATATTCACAGTCTGCAGCAGGCAGATTTTCCATATTATTACAAATCATGGCAGTAAAAGATTTTAAAACACAGGATTCTCATCAGAGTATTTATGAATTAAGTATAAAAACATACTCTAAAAAAAACTTTTCTATCTAAAGTTCATTAAAGCAAGATTTATAACCAGAAATTAATTTCTGGATAATTCATCAAATTTAATCTGGTTTAAAAGTACTTGCATGCTTTTTCTCCTTTTCTTAAATACATTATCCCAGAGGTGCTGCCACTGGCACTGACGGGCTCAGCCTTGGCCAGTGGCAGGTCCACCTTGGGGTCTGCTGGAATGGGATCTGTTGGACATGGAGAAGTTTCTGGCAGCTTCTCCCAGAGGCCACCCCTGCACCCCCTCCCTGGCTCTGCTATCCCAAACTTGCCATGCAAACCTAGTACAATTACTGATTACAAACTGAATTGAAAAGCCTAATTTTAGCCCCCCCAAATTTGCAAATTTAAGCTACAATTTATCTTGAAATCAGTAGAATTTCTGTACTGTTTCTTATCTCCAAAACCTTTAAAAGGTCATTTTGAAATGAATTCTAGTATTGGTTTATCAAAGCTGTTTTAGAAACTCCATCTGGTGGCCACTGGCAGAATGTTCCTGCAGTAGTTCCCAAAAGCAGTAAGATCAGTAAAATTAGTTGGATTTAAATTAATCTTTAGGGAGAAAAAAAAAAATCAGTTGCAGTTTCTGGTTAAACACAGATTTGTACAGCTGGTCCTGCCTGCAGGCCCTGAGGGTACTGCTACAAGTATTTAGAGGAAACAAAATTAACCTCAACTCGGACAACCAACTGCTGCTGTGAGGGAAAGGCAGGTAAGACAGTTGCAAGAAACAAATCTCAATAATGGTTAATTTTGGTTTTGAACCTAATAGAAGGATATTTAACTAGGCTACTAGGTCTGGCTATTTGTAAAGAAGTAATACTTTTCACAAAGCACATGTTCCTTGTACTGTTTCATGAAACATCTGTTACTAGTCATTGTGGTTGACAAGATGCTCAAAGACCAAAGGAAATGCCATTCCCATTCAGATCCAGAGTATTGTAATTCTTTCTAATTAAGTATGGTTTCACTAGTTCACAATGAAATACATTTCCTACTTAGTTAAGAGACAAGTCTGATATTTTTCAGGTCCAGCCCATGTGCAATTAAATAACCATTTTAGCACCTACATTGCTAAGCAGAGACCAGCTCTCTTATTGAAACTTGCTATTAGAAAAAGCTTTTTTCCACCCTTTAGTAGAACATTATTTTGAAATACAGGCAATTTTTGAGCTCTTATAGCTGAGTTACACAGATGATTTACCTGTATAGAAGAATTTATTTTGTGATTGATAGAAACATTACTGTATAGCAATAATAATAAAATACTGTTTATAAAACAACTTACATTACAAACAGTGCTCAAATAAGCCAATAATAAAACCACTAATAGTGAACCACAGGCAAGGAACCCTGAGATGTGGAGGCAGCAATCACACAGCACCGAGCATGGCTATTCTAGGAAAAAAGGAAGAAATGTTGATTTACAACCAGCTTCTGAGATGCAGATAATCATTAGTAACCAGTGTTTATGGATAAACACCACCAGCCTGGGCTTCTGAGCCCCATCCAAGCAAAGAGAGTAAAACCATCAAATTTTACAAATTCACATAGCTCCGTGTACCTTATAAATTAGCATAAGCATGTGAATTCCATTTTAAAACACACACTTTAAAAATCCCTTCCTAAACCAAACATGCAGGGAATATAATACAATAAAGCCATGTCTTTTTGTTCCAAAATGAACTCATAAACAAAATTCCGTTAACTTTCTTCTAACTAGCTATTCTTGGATATCTGTACAACTTACCTCATGTTTTGGGGTTCGGTGGGTTTGGTTTTTTTGGAGGAGGGGTGTCTTTTTAATGTCAAAGCCCTAATGTTCTACAATGTTTTAATCAAGGACACAAATTTGCTTGCTGTCAATTAAGGCTAAACATATATAAAATTAACAGCAAAGCCTTTCACAAGAACACTTTTTTAGTGTGACTGGTAGCTGTGCATCAATGTAGCAAAAGCCTTAGAACACATATTCCTCTGTTAGGGGCTTTTCCCCCCCAGGAATTTTGAGGTATTGCATTAATATAAGTGATTTTAATGTCTTAAATCCCACAAAGAAAAGCTTCCAATATGTAAGCTCAGATGAATAGAGTAAAAGAAATCTTTGACTAACACAGTGGGTTATATCTCACACTCAAGATATTTTTTTCTTACACAACAACAATAGAGCAAAAATTAAGGTGAAAATACATGGCAGTTGATGAAAAACATCTTTCAAACAAAATTCCAGTGTATTGCACGATTCAAAATTCCCGTAACAAAGCAACTGCTTTTCATCATAATACACTGGGGTATAGGCAATAACAGTCATTTAATATTCCAAAACAATCCTATCATTCTACAAAGGGATAGTTTTCTTAATAACATTACATCCAGAAAGCAAGAAAATATATGTTAACTGAGAGAAGAAAGTAACAGTGTGGTCTGACAATAAATTTTGGGCTCCTCATGCAGGATTAGCTCCCAAACAATAATCACTGCCCCAGAGAATCCAGTCCAGTGCTTGGACTAAGTGCAGGCTGCTGCAGCCTCTGGTCCCCAGGATCTGTGGTCACCCTGTGGCTGTTGGATGCAGCACCAAGCAAACACCAGCTCTAATGCTCAGCTGAGCCTTGCAGCTCTTTGCTGAGCAGCTGATCAGGATTGCTCAGAAGGAAGATCAGTGTGGGAATCCAGGGCTTCCCTCTGGCTGCCCTGGCAGGGGTCAGGAACCCCCCTGGACAGAGCCCCCAGAGACACTGTCTGTGATCTCTGTCCATGGAAAAGAATTTTCAATCTCACAGGATGAATTACCAGCTCTGAGTGTTTGATATAAGTAATAATTAAGTGTGGCATGGGTGCAAAAGTAAAATTTTAGGATTCTAGATTAGGGGTCCAAAGGGGACAAGATGGAGGAAATTGGGTGTGCCTTGTCCTTTTTCTCCTTCTTCATGCCCTCCATGTTTCACTGTGGTGTTGGCATTTTTCTGTTGGTTCAGGCTGGGGACACACTGTCCAACGTAGGTGACAGATATTGGCACGTTATTGTAAATCCAGCACAGGTAGTTTGTGGTATTTAATGTTTGTACCATCCCACTGGGGGCAGAGCCCCACGCGCTGCCCTGCAGGACAGAGCTGCGGCAGGGCAGCAGAACATGTTAGAGATAAACAGAATAAACAACCTTGAAACCAGCACAGACGAATTATGGCTTCTTCTTTGGCAGCGGGGCTGACAGACAGAGAATTTCTACAATCTCAGAATCATCAATACCACAGATTCCAACAGATGAGCAAGACAGGATCCCCATCTCCACAACACTCCACAGGATGGATCTGCCTGAAGCCAGAGAATAAAAAGACTGAAATCTCCGGGGCTGCAGCACCTCACAAGCCAGAAGCACTGAACTGTGTTTGTTAGACAAGATGGAGACGTTTCTCTCATCTGGCACACACAGATAGGAGAGAAAGAGCCTTTACTTCAAATTAAGCTTACTGTCAGGGATGTGTGCTCTGCTAAATGCATCAGCAATATGGGTCAATTAAGAGAAATTATTGGTGTTGGTAAAAAAAAAGGCATTCACATCTGCTTTCTTTATAGCAACATCTGTCATTCAGTACTGGAGATATTTATTTTGCCACATGAGCAGTTCTGTTCAAAAATAAACCTGAGTTTTGCCCACCACAGCACACTATAGGTGGTTAGTGGCTGCACATGTTATCAGCCAATCCCTAAATATTGCCACATCTCACAACTATTTCACTTCTGTAATTTCACCTTTCCTGCCTCCATCCTATCCAGAACATCATTATCACACATCAACCTTTTCCACTGACAGCAAATAAATTAATACATGCTAAGAAATTTCACCAAAAAAAAATGAATCCAGAAATCACTAATAAAAATAATTATTACATCATCCCAAACACAATCACTTAACCATTTTCTGGAGCTTTATGAAACCTTTATACAACTGAGCTAGTCTGAGCTATACAACTGACTAGTCTGCTTGCCACTATTCTCATATGACTTGTACCCTGTGACCATTTAAGCAAATTAAACAAACTGGTTTATTGGTTTTTTCTAAGGAAAGATGCAGCTTGTCACACAACAGCAATATTTTGCTTTTCTTTTACCAACACATTAACTATGACAGTAACAGCACCGTAAGCTGCTGCTGAAACTCCACTGGGAGCTCTTAACATACCTCAAAAATTCTTTTGTTTCTGTAGATGAGACAGAATTGCAGCTATCGAGATGGGAATCAGCAAAGTCTAAACAGAATAAAGAATATAGTGGGAAACTTTTATTTTCTAACCTCTATTTCTCCTCTGGCTTTCAATTTATTCCATCATCTTGGAAGAATAAATTTCTCAGTAGCCAAGTTTCTCCACCTGTAAAATGTGATGCTTTCTGATGTGTGAGTCTCCCAAGCTGTGTACAATTCTGAAATTGTGTTGTGCTACGTGCACCTGACTCCAAGTAGGAAACACATTCTTACTCCCTAAATACCACTGAATAATGATGTTTAATACAGGTTTCAGACAAAGTATGAACTAATGTCTGTAAAGGTGAATGCATTTTAAAGATGGGAGCTTTCTCTTTGATTACTTTTTCAAGATGGGTGGTGTAAGAAATAGCTTCTCTCTTTTTACTTTTCCGGTTCTATTGATACAATTTTGTCATTAGTGGATAAGTCTCTGCTTACCCAGCACATGCATTGTCAGGTTACTGAGTAACAGGAACTGTGGCCTCAGCACGGCTGTGTCAGGGTTTATCTATCTGCACGGGAGGAACTCCTTGCTCATTAACCCAGAGTCACTGAAACCTTTGTCAAGAGTGCTTTGAATATTCCTTAAATTGGTGCATTGATTTGCCTCTCTTTTACTAATAAACACCAAGGGCACAGCCAGATATCCCTGTGTACACCCACCCAAGGCAAATTCAAAAAGATATAAACCTCTAGCAGTTTGCTTCTGGCCCTCAGCCAAGAAATAATTTTAGTTTCCCCCAACCCCATCTCCAGTAGAGCCCAGGGTTATCAATAATGGGCTACTCAACACACTTTAGTGGAAAGTACAGCAACAAAACCGTGTTGCAACTGTTCAGCATCGCCTCGGGTGCACAAGTGATCCATTCTGGAAGCTAAAAAGTTAAGTTGATGACCAAAACCTTTCTGAAATTTTGCTATAATTTCAAAAACAATCACTTCACTGTACCTACATAGTTTAGTGTGCTCTCTGCACAGCCCTCAGTCCTAGAAAGAATAAGGTGACATTTGAAATTTGCATCTTTACTGGAAAACCAACAGAAAAAAAATAAAAGAATCACCTGATTTGCATGTAATGACAATGGGGTTTTTTTTACTATTCTTAACTATAAGAATTTAATGTCAACAGAATGAGCCTGGATTAGGGTACAGCTCATAGGGAAATGTTACATACAAAACACCTGCACTACACTGCCACTTTGTCTAAGGCTGTCTGTAACAGTTTGGAGGAACTACTGTAAATAAAAGGGAAACAATAAACAACCTACCCAGTCCAACAAGCTGCTACATATGATGACCAAAACCAAAGGCTCTGTGTGAATTACAGTATTCTAAATAAAGCTCATTGGAAATCACATTTCACAGAGCCCCTGAACTACTGAAGAACTCCTCGAGAGAACAGTTACCTGACAAAGAATGAGAACCTTCAACCTGAAAACTGAAATGTTTCTGATCTACTGCTGCAAGCCAAGACCCTCCATCCAGTCTGCCTCTAATCTCAAGGAGGTATTTGGAGTAGTAGTGCTAACCTTCAGATGAAAACATAGACCAAGCACTAAAATATCTTCTCCAGGTAATCCACAACTCAAATTTTGAAATTTAGACTCATACATATTTGTCTCATTTTACTTTTTTGAAGTGTTTTGGCAGTTTCCATGTGTTTTTCAGTGAACATTGTTAAAGTGCAACAAGTGGGAAGCCATGAAAGCAGAGTGCTGATACACTGGTCACAAACTACCCTCTCAACCCACAAAAACCACTACAGGTTACTGAAAGGTTACAACAGAAATGCCCTTCCCCATGAGCTGGTATAAGAAAACAAGATGCTACTGACACATCCCAGCCAGATGAGCTGCACTAAAAAAAAACATGAGCCAACCCTTTCTTGCTTATTTATATCTGAGGTTTTAAGCACACTATTCAACATAGTCACTGACTGATGCTGAGCCAGACCCAAAACATCCTTCATACTCCAAGTCTTGTCTTTTAACACCTCATGGTCTGGAAAAATAATTTATTGCACGTTTACAGTAACACGAGTATTCCAAGAGCCAGGATCCTTGGAAAAATAGAAATACACCTCTTTTTAAGCAAGGCTCTTAATGGCTTGACCTGCCGTGCTTTGTGTGAAGCTTTTGTTGTATTAAGCAAAGGGCGTGGTGTGGTATTTATTCCACAGGCTTTTCCTTTTCTAGACCTCTAGCACTTCACACAGCACACTGCGAAAAAATGCAATTGCAAAGGCTGGCCAGTGAGTGTAGGATTACTTCATGAACAGGAAAAAAAAATCCACTGGATGGCCTCACATACTTAGAAATGACAGGGACAAACACTACTTTTCTGTTCTAAAATATCTCATTGCAGAGGAGAATCTGAACTTTAAAGTCACATGATGATGAAACCATAGGTTTGCTAAACATGCAACGTGTATGGTTTGAATGACTTCAGCAAAGTTCCTGTTTCCCTTACAGAACTGCATATTTTTTACTCAGCAGGCGCCTGGATTCTTCACCGTGGTGTACAGCAGCTGAAGAAATTATTGTTATATACAAACTTTGCTTCCTAAAGAAATAGAAAGGGCTCTAAGCTCCAAACAATAATTGTATTTCATCTGCCAATTCTCAGTGAAAGTCGCAGCCTGTTGTTTCCGTGGAACAATTCCTTGAAAAGGTAAGTGCTTTATATTACTTTGAATATGCAATGTTTTATTCAAGAGGCTCAAATAATGAAGCTAAGGTTGTAATTGAAAGTTTTTAGTTTTCCCTTTTTTAGCAACATTTGAACTACACAAAGTAAAATACTGTATCTGGGAGAGGTCCTCAGAAAGCAGAAATGTATAATGAAGCTGAAACTTGTGATAAAACTGGGCATTAAGAAGAGAAAATGTGAAGACTGTTTTCCAGTAAGTACTTCACTCTTGTCAAACCAGTGGGAGGTGGATGATGAAATCCTGTTCAGTGGTGTGGACAAACGACTCCAACCATTGCCTAAAACCCGTCTTTTAAAGGATGGACATTGCCAGATAATCTTAACCCACTACAGGCATTGTAGAGGACAGGAAACAGTTCGGGGATTATGTTTAAGTCACTGTTAGTTCCTTTATATTCTAGAAAAGTAAAAACAAAAGCTTTCGCTTTCTCAGGAACTGCTACTTCCCCACAAGTTAAGGGTAGGATTTCTTAAGCCTTTACGATTTCAAATACACGCCTAAGAGTAGGAATTGAGATCTTACAAGAAAGATGAATATAGTATTTCACATTTTAATCTCATATACTGCAAGCTGCCCCCATCTTTGAACTTGGCAGAGGCGGTGTGAGCAGAAAGGACATCTGCCCCAGATCATGTGTTATCTGCAGCCACAGCACGGCATCCATCCCTTCCGGAGCAGGCTGGCACAAGCAATGTCCTGTGTATTGCTTTATGACTGCATGAAAGAATATTTTCCTTCTAAAGGCTGGTGACAGAATGCAGAAACACTGCCCTACCAAACCTTTTATAGAGGAAGAGTTCTGGCTGCCAGGGAGAAACTCCCCTGGTTTAGGAGCTCTTCCTTCTAGACTTTAAATAAACACAAGTCTCCTTGAAACCTCCCCTTCTGCAAAAGTTAAACATTAAAGTGAGGATGGCGAATCCAAACCCAATGGAATCTTAGGGACTAGGTCCCCTCAGCACTGAAAGTCCTTTCACAACTTGCTATTTTTAAACTGCTTTTTGAACACTGTGCTCACTGTGTTGGGAGTGAAGGGGAATGTATACACTCTGCTTCAGAAAGTGAAAATCAAAGGTATTTGCTTTAACTGCTGAATTATAGGGAGGAAACAGAGATAGAAAGAGGAAAAAAAAATCCAAGGCCACATGAAGTTAAGGAGGGATTTGTGACGTGACTGATGGCAAATTAAAGTAAGGGGAAACTGAAAAAAAGGGACAAAATACTGGAGCATGACAACACAAAGATAAACCAAGCAGCATATTGCAAATTTCCCTATTTCCCTCAGTAACTAATCATAAAACAAACAGGAATAGACCTGGTTTCTGCCATAGTTACTGTGACTAAATGGAAATAAAAAAGCCAGTTTATATCATAGTATGCTGTAAGAGAAAAAAAAATAATTCAGGTCTTGAGGTGTTTGCACTGTAAGCTGACAGATCCCACTAAAAGAGTAGAGGACTTGTCAGCTGCTGTTGTCACCCCCTCCACCCACACCACAGCAGAGCATAAACATTACATGTATTTGGAAGAAATAAAAGAATGTCCCTGCAGTCAATCTAACAACCAGACAAAAACTGAGGGAATACGAGATTTTCTCACAGCAGAGGAAAATGACTTAATAAATTCCCTATTTTTCTTTATGATGGAAACTCTAAGTATTTTGAAAAAAAAAAAAATATGTGGCCAGCTGTATGAATATTCTGAAATAAAACATCATGTGAGAAATAAGCCATTCTCTGCTGCTCCCATGGAACATAAGTTCTTCTTTTAAATTAAATTACATTAGTACTACCAGTAGTCTGAAAATCTTTACAAACATTATTACTACTATAGCAGAAGTAGTGAGCTCCTTCATCCCATTGTTATTCTAAGCATGAACTTGATGCTTTGGGTATATTTTGAAAGTGGAAAGATAATTTCTAAGAGCTGCTTTACATGATAGATGAGCACCTTACAGTCACAGGAATCTCTAAAGCTAATCATAGTGATGTAAACAAACAAACAAACAAAAACAAAAAACCAAAATTGAGAGAGGTCATCTGGGACTATTCCCAATGCATCAGCTGCAGGAGCTGCAATGGAGCCAGGCTATTCTGGTGGAGCCAATTCATAACACCAGCTTGAAAACCCTAATGCAGGCACTTCATAAAGAGGTGAACAATGCATCTTGAAAAGTCCTATGTATCCTCAAATTTCACTGAAACCATCATGAAGAGCCAAAATATTAAAAAGAAAAAAAAAATCAGATTGTCAGGAAATCAGAAATGTATATTTCTCTCTTTTAGAGAGAATGCAGGTGTGTTGCAGCTTGAAGGAAGAACTGGCCATGTCTGCTTGTACCCCCTGCACAGTCTGAGCTCCAAAATGCCATTTGCTCTTTTTAATATGAGACACCAGAACCAAATACGAAAAGAGCCCCTGACATTATCATTACTTTAAGCTTCTAGGAATAATTTAAGGGGGAAAGCTAATAACTACACCATTGACTTTAATCTTATTTGCCAAACTAAAAATATTTCATAATTGGCTACAAACTGCTAGGAGATATTTCTTCTTCTGTAATAAACACTTTATTGAAGGCAAACAAGAATTATACTCACACTAACTAGCCACAGCAAAGCTGCAAACAGCTTGTTCTTTTGATAAAATTCTGTTTGTGTGGGAATACTAAAGTGATTCCTTTTTAAAACAGCACACCTAAAATTTTTTCCTTAGCTCAAAATTCTAATACTTACACTGATTATAATTATAAATATATAGTTGCACTGTTATTTCCCCAAAGTGAGCGTGTTAATTCTAGGCTGAAGGGTTCCTTTTGTTCAGTTTAAATCCTTCATCAGATGAGGTAATTTAAAAGACATATATTCAGGTGAGGACAATAATATTTAGATGGAAAGGAAGCATCAATGTTAGTTATTTAATGTTTATGTCTGTGGTTGCACTGAAACTGTTTCAGGCATCTGCTTTGACACCAAATGAGAGCAAAACACATCCTTAGCCTCTGTTTAACACTGTGCTGGGCTGTCAGTAACACACCACAGTGTGCATGCAGGTGGGTACAGGAAGAGAAACCAAAATGCTGCACTTGCTTGCACAGTAAGCTGCAGTTACTGAAATATGCTGCATTAAGCCTTACTTTATTTTAAATGCCCAAAGAGTATTTAATTAAAATTAAAAATACATTGCTATGGTCATAATTGAGCTCAGTATCAGTACCAAGGCCAGGTCCTGAGCATTCATTCAAGTTTTGGCATCTTTTTTTCCTGTAATTTGATATAAGGCCATATGATTTCCTGTAAAACCCCAAACTACATCCTCTGTTTCCTTTGCAATGATGTTACCAGAAAAGTTGAATGTTGCTAAATTATTCTGGGGTTGTCTGCAAGGAAAGTGAGCACAGTTAGCTGGCCCATAGAAGTTGTTGAGAAGGTAATGGAGATGTTCACAGTTCCAGATCTGAATTTTTCCATTCAGCCCTGCAAAAGGCCTGAGGGAATCTCCAGGTAACACTGGAGGCTCTGGTGGAACAGCTCTAAATGTAAATATTTCCTAACATTGAATCTACAGTGTGGGACGATAACAGACTTTCTCAGATGCTCAAGTGGTCACAATCCTTCACCAGGTTAAGCTTCAAATCTCTTGCCAAACAAAAGATCAAAATTTTCAAGATCAAGACTTTCCTTCATTCTTAAGACTCCTCCCAAGTATTTAAGAAGAAATGAATTGAAGTTAAAGTTTAACACACAAGAATTGCTCATATCTAATAAACTATTTTTAAGCTCCAAAACAATATTGACCTTTAACTTGCTTCAGAGACTTCTGCCTGTTTTGTCCATCAGTTCTTTCCTACATGGTGCACCCCAGCTCAAAGGCTGGAACAGAGTCTGACCAGCCAACCTTTCCCTCCTGCAAGACCACCTGTAAAAAAAAAAACATTTTCCCTGGGTGCATCAGTCCTTCCTGTAGTGGAATCTCTCAGAAAATAACCTTTTCTACAAAGCAAGAAACTCTGTCTTTAAAAAGGGACAAAGAACACTGCTGAATCAAAACATAACTCCACGCTTTTCTATAAATGAAATTATAATTATGTAAGATTACATACACATTTAATCAAAGCCACTTTGATAAGTCAACTTTTCTAATTAAAACCAGTATTAGAATTCCAATTTTGAGGAGAGATTAGAAACATCAGAAATGTGAAGTAGTGTCAGAGGTAACAACCATAAATTAACTGTCAAACAGTATTAAGACACTGATTTATCTATAATGAGCACTGCTTAAAAACATTAATGCATCTCTATGAATTTTTACCAATTTAACATTACTTTCATTTTAAGAGTTAACATCACTAAATCCCCTTATGGAAAAGGCATTATGTACAACTAAGTATGTAGTTTCTTGCCACTGTGACTATAGAAACTTCTGTAGGGAGAACTCCATGGTCCTGTCTTTGCCTGCTTGTTCAGATCAGCTTCAGGTAAAACAGAACAAAGTAAAAACATCAAAGTCTAACACAAAATTGGAATCTTTGTAAATAAAAAAGATTGTTTTTCCCAGAAAGCATTCTACACAATAAAAATGCCTGTTTAACTTTTTCCAGTGCTGAGGAACATCTTTAATCAGACAGTCCAAATTAAATAGGAATGGTTCCTTATCTCATGTTTAAATATATCAACTCTTTGCAATTAAAAAAGGTATGGTATTTTCTGTACCAATAAGTACAAGGTGCACAGAAATTTCATCTTAGAAGTTGAGCTAATTATGATTTTAGGTGGTCTGGAAAAATGCATATATCCATATCCATTACAGTTTTTCACGAGTACATATTATGTTCTCATAAAAGCTTTTTGGCTTAAAAGAAAAGGAGCCTCCTTTACTGTACTGTTGTACAGTAACAAAATCATTGCATCAACATATTACAGAGTCATTACAGCTAACAGCCTAACCATATTACTCTCAAAATTCCCTATTTCCAGGAATTTATAATGCAGCTGTAATAAATGGTCCTTGCTAAAACTTTATCAACAGGTTTATGATGCACCAGTAATCATTTTCTCAAAGTTGAGCATGCAGAAATGCATTATTTTTTGCTGTTTTATGCAACAGCTACATCTAAGAAATCACAGCATTATTAATGCATAAAGATGTTTTGGTATAGAAGCAGTTTGTTCATAACAGTTCTTAAACACTCTCATTAATTTTATAATGCTCCTCAGTACGGACTGCAGCTATGAAAGGCTTTTTTTCAGAACAGAAAGGAAGCAAAACTAAAACAAAGAAAGGAATGCGGCTCATGCCTCATATTGTGATTATCTTTGCATTTTCCTCAGTGTGTGGTGTGAGACTGCAGCTGGGCTCAAATGATACAAAATTCCCACCCTTGTGACAGGACAGTGGAGCTTTTTGTGGCTGGAGCTGCTGCCCACTCACGGGATTGCCCTGCAAACCGCCTTGGCCTTTTTTGGCAAGATAGGGAGGAAAAGCAGCTCCACCGAAACAGAGCCAGCTCCTTCCTCACCCACTGAACAGCCAATATTCCATATATTCCACAGGCAGCATGAGTGTGCTGGATCCTGGCTGTCCACAACGCTGAGCTGCATCAAGTGAGGAAAAGGGAGGAGTGGTAAGAGCAGAAACCACATCAAAAATAAAAAGGCAGATTTCTCTGACTAAAAATAATTTCAAGCTAAATTGGGTAATAACACAGGAGTGTAAAATCCACCAAGAAATTACTGCATTTATTCTGAACAAATGGTTTGCATGCCTGGCTGCACATAATATATTCAATGCAAAAACAGGCATTAAAACTGTACTTCAAAACTTGTTTCACCTTCCTTTTCCAGCTCTGTTTCAAGCACTGTTGAACAGGAAATAAGCACAGTGTGGAAAGAAGGATGACTTCTCACAACATGACGTGGATCAGCTACCCAAGCAAGAGCCAGCGTTTCACCTCCCCAGAAGAAATCGAAGCCATCATAGCTTCTCAAAACATCATATCCAGACTTATGCACTGTTACATTGCCTTTTTCATACCTGCAGGATTAATAGCTGGCATATGTATTTTGATCATTTTCATAAAGAATCATTTGCAGAACAAAAGAGCAAGCTTGGACTTACTTCTTTTACACTTCACCATCAGCAATATCATAATGATTTTTTTATCCTTTACTGTCATCACTAGACCTGACTATTTAACAGCAACCTATCTTGCCTGTAGCATACTGTCATTTTTTTTCAACTTTGTTTATTTCAATTCTCAGTATGTTTTCACTTTGACACTTCTCACACTATTACTGGAGAGATTTCCACCACGGACTGCTCTCTGCAGAGCCACCCAAAGACCCATTTTGTGTGTCGGGTTTGTGCTCACATACACCTTCTGTTTGTCCCTGACAGAGGCCGTGCTGATTGGCACTGATAATTATCACCTGGAAGCAGACTGCCAGCTGGATCCATTATTTGCATGGCCTGAGTATGAGATTGTTAAATTCACCTTTGGGTTTGGAATGCCGTCCTTACTGCAGATCCTCTGTTTGGCTGTTGTGTGGGCTAAAGAAGCACGTGCTGGAGCTGCAGCCCTGGGGCAGCACATCCGCGCTCACCCCGCCGTGTACGCCACCGGCGCGACGACGTTTATCTGCCGCCTGTTCTACAACGTCATGATCCTCTTCAGGACAGCACTGAAACTACAGAGGAGCATTGGAACGACAAAGAACGAGCTCGTGATGAACATTGCAGAAATAGTGATGTTCTGTGAGAGCTGTGCTAGTGTGGTAGTTATACTTTGTTTTTATAAACCGTTCAGGGATGAAGTACTTAAAGTCGTACAGAAGTGCCGAAGGAAAGCCCGTACCAACAACCACCTTGAAATACCAGAAACAGCCATGACACATCAAAGTGGGTCTCAGTAATACTTTCTCTTCTTAACAACTCTCAATCCACTGCACTTTTTAGCTTGTGGATTTTGGTTTGTTTTTTTACTTCTTCAAAAAAAGGGCAATTGTTCCTTCTTTAGAACCCAAACTTGGCTTATCTTTCAGCTAGCAGTACTAGAAGAAAAAAGATGACCAGTTCTAATACTTACAGTGAAATCTGTAAAAAAAAAACTTCCAGGGTCTGGGGCTGTTTGGGTTTTTTTTTCATATATACATAGATATTTAAATCATCTATTTTTCTGCAAGCATTGCTTCAAAGTCAAGTAGAAAGATGAGTACTGTTGCCATAGCACTGTGCTTCTGCAATAGTATCAATGCCCTGGTAGAGCTGCAAACAAAATTATGGCAGAAAGCAACTTTGAACAAAGGTCAAAATCTGTAAGTCAGAATATTTTCTCAGGTGTGCTTCCTCCTTTGACGTCTTACCCTTCAAGCTATATATTTCTATAACAATGGTATATAACTGGTATGTATAATTCCAGTGGCAGCAGCAGTGAAATTTTTGTCTGAACTCCTGTGACAAAAAAAAGGAAAGAAATCAAATTAATGGAAATGCAGGTCCATAAAAGAAAGCTTTGGGTCCTTTGTGAGGCACTGAACTGGAAAGATCAATAGGATGGCTAATTAAAACTTTGTACAAGAATGAAAGCTTTTTATTAATGTACCCTCAGCTTCCACTTTGCATTTAGACTTATAGCAATGATTGATTTAAGCCATTCCTGATGAGTTCATTCAGAAGTATGAACTCATTGGAAGAGCCATAGTAAGTTAGTAATACACTAACTGAAAAATAGAGAAAGGTCAGCCCAGAACAGTAGAACTGAGGTGTATTTTTAAGAAGGCAAACAAAACCCAAGCCCCAGTTCCTAACTGGAATCAAGGCTCTGCTAGAGACAAGCACTGTACATTTAGATGAGAGTTAAAGGGCAAATAGTGCAAAAAGAGGAAAAAATCTGAATAATAAAACAGCTGTGGTGCAGGAGTTTGGATGAAGCCCTGCAGGATCAGTAGCTGATGCAGGCTGAGTTGTAGGTGCAAACCTGTAAATGCTTGCTTTGAGCACATTATTACTGCCACCAAATCTGGCCAAGAGCCACCTTAGGCATTTGGCCATGGCTTCATCTTCTCCTCTTAAAAAGGTGGAGAGAACGGAACTAGGAAAAGCACAGAATTGTACTAAAACTTGGATACTGACATAGACTCAGATGGCAAAGTTACAAAAACACAGCACTGTGCTTGAAGAGTTCTGAGAAAAGCTATTTTGATGCTTAAATCTGTGCCTTTGTACGAAACCCAGGTGCTAAGGGAAGTGAGAGGGGCTTTTTGCAGTTATATCCTTTGAAAGATCTTCTTGATGGGGTCTTCCAGATTTGTGTGGGGAGCTGGTGTAAATCAGCATGGGCTGCCTAAGAGGGAACAGCAGGAACTGATTGACCAAGATGAACATCTTCCACAAGGCAACAGCCAAGAAATGGAAGAACAATAATCATGCAGAATATAGATCAAGTATCTAGAGATATGGATCTAGTCTTGGACATCCAAATCCTGACAGGTATGGACCATGACTGTATCACATGCAAATAAAGGGCAATATGTAATCCCACTATGACTGTAAGGACTAACATTTCCACAAGATGTAAAAATCAGCTGCTAAGATATCTGCATTATATTGTGTCAGCCTGTTCTCCTGTTCAGTTTTGTTCTGCTGCCAGCATGAACAGATGGATAATTAAAAAACTCTACATATAAACAGATCCTTATAGAATGTGGTCAGAAAGGAAGTAGGCAGATAAGAATCATCTCTTTGAACACACGAGCCTATTTCATACTTGTGAAAGGAATTCTCAGATGGCATCAGAGATTTTGTTTTGCACCTGAGAAGAGGGAGATTAAACAACATAGACCAAAGATCAGCCTTGCAGAAAGAAGTCTGAAGAGATGAGTTGTAAGAGCTGTACATCAGTGAAAAAGCTGACAGACTGAGTGAAAGAATATGTCAGAGGGTGCAAGCTGTTTATCCCAGCTCAGAAAGTCAGAGTTTCAGCTGCACCGTGGATAAGGAAGATATTTTGTAGTATGGGAATGATGTGTGAATGATTCTACTTCATTTACAGCTTCCATATATTTTATATTGAAGGATGAAATAATAAATATTGTGTTGTTTCTGAGTTACATTGAAAGGTGCCTAAAAGAAAATCGAGCCAGTAAAAGTTGGCTGGGACCTGGGAAGTGGTGTGATGGTGAGTGAATGCCAGTGACACACCTGGGAGGAGCCACAGGGCTGAGCAGGGCACAAAGGTGTTTCATGATACCCTCAGCAGGGTACACAGCTAGAGCAGAGCCATACCCAAGTGTCACAGACAAAAAAACCTGCAGGGACCTACTGTGAGATGTAGGATCTGAGAGTGAGCACACCTTGGCAGAATGAACAACTGTGTGTGAGTCCGGGAGCTCCCAAAGCTCCTGGCTGCCATCTGTGAGATGGGAGTACTTGTACTCTGATCTCCTCCCTGTCCACGTGGAAAAAATCTGAGTATTTTCTGGATGGCTGGTTATATTGCCATGAAGAAATCTCTCTGTACAACGGAAAGACTTTGCAACTGAATATGAGAAAACAAAGGTAAACAGGAGAGAAGAGGTTGAAAAATGCAAAACAGTGACTCATACAGTTATGAGTATAAATTTTAGCAATACAGAAATATTTTCATAGACTTATTCTTGATAAAGTAAGAGCTTACATTAAAGTTTAGGGCAATGAATATGTGGTCCTAGAGGAAATCTACTTGCATCCAGCTAGAATATGAGAGCAAACACCCCTATGTGCAACAGGGAAGGAACACAAGCAATTTTCCAAAATCCTTCTAATATAGTCTGATATGAGGGAGAAAAGAGCAGCTTTGGCTAAGATTAAAACTAATATTTTTTAAATAATTAATAATCAAAAAATGTTTTTAAGAACAAAATAAAATCTCCATGCTCTGATATTTTTTCCTCTTATGCAAGCAGCAGCTCTGTTGTACCCTCACTTCTCCCAGGCTTCACCCAGTTGTGAACAGTATGTTCCAGAAGAAATACAGCATATATTTTTATAGGCAGGCTGTCAAAATTAACTGAAGGGATATACTGGAAAGTTCAAAGGAGAATATTCTACTTCTGTCTTGGTAATATTTGTATCTTTCCACAACTTTGGTCTTCATTTTTCAACCACTTTGTTCAGTAGAAAAGAGAATGATCAGACAACTGAAATTAAAGCTTGAATTTCTGAGTTGGTAGCATGTTTTTGAAAAGAACTCAGGACTCACCATAACTGAACCAGCTGGCTCAAACTTGATCTGATCCCACTGCAAACAACATTTGAGCTAGAGACTGGATGTGCACACGGGCTGCTACATCCCTGCACATATTTGTGAGCCTGCCCTTACTTACATTCTAATATTAAACTCACAGACACCTGAAAGGGCACTAGTATTATTTATTGTAATTATGAGGTAGCTGCAGAAGATTTGGGGCAGGGTGAAAACTCAAGCAATCCAGCCAAAGTAAGTACTTTATATAATGTGTCTACCATATATGTTGCACGACAAATAAATTCACCAGGGATAGAATGAAAGAATACATTTCACTTCCACGATGCAAAGTGTCCAGCAAAGGACTGCCAGACTCAGCCACTAAAATAAAAATCATTGATGTTTTGCAAAAAACTTTTAAAATAGCATTTCAATAGAGCCTGAAGTCGTAGGATGAGGCTTTGAGCACTCTGGTTTAGTGGAAGGTGTCATGGCAGAGAACTTGGATTTAGATGGTCTTTAAGACCCCTCCCAACCCAAACCACTCTAGGATTCTGTGATCTTTCACTAGACAACATTCTGTGGCCTAATTTAGTGGAATTTTTAGATTATCCCTTAAGAGGTTTGCAATATATGCTTTAAGAAAAATAAAAAGGTTTTACCAGAATAGTTTGAATGGGTTTGAATGGGTGTTGTCCCTGCAAAAGGAAAAGGCTGAACTTTTAAAAATTATTTTTAGTAAGAAAAATGCATTCTCGGAATTATTGGCAACTGCAAAGCCTAAATACACAAAATACACTCCATCCAACATTTTCTGAAGGCCCAGAAACAATTAATTCCAGCTCAAACTAAGTTTGATTATTTGCAAGAAAGACTATTTGCTACTGAGGCTTGACAAGATAAAGGATGAGGGTGCCCTAGAGCAGGGTAATGGATGCTGATTTCATTCAGTGGTTGAAAAAGGTGAGAGAATTTGGACATCAGTCTACCCAGAAAACCTTGTGAACAGTACCACAGCACCTGTATTTCCCCTATAAATAGTTGCAGTAGAGATTCTTACACAAATCTTATTTCTTCTGGAAATGGTTATATTACAGTGCAAGCATTCCAATACAATTTTAATTTATGCTTCCTTCCCCTTCCATGCTATAGAGTGCCTTACTCTTTTTCAGCTTTCTATACCCTTACCCTGATCTAATTTCTCCAGGACTCAACAGCTTCATACCCAAAACACTTCCGCACTTTTGAGAGAATCCAAGAGTCTCTTGCACTTCAAGAGATGGAGAGGCTGCCACAGAGTGCTGCCACAGGAGGTGTGATGCACCAGACCCCTCAGTGCTGCTCCCTCCCATACTCACACCTCCCACTTTCTTTCTCCTCAGCTGCCACCTTTCAGCAGCACAATAACAGGCACATATGTTGAAGTCTGTTAAATTACACAGAATATCTCCTATTATACTCCAGATTCAGCCTCTTGGTGCACTGAAGTACATCACAACTGCAGCAGTGCTTCTGAAAGACTCTCTGGTGTTAGACATGTTTACTGAGATATTTACAGAGCTTTACACATCGCTACATAAAAATAAACCAGGAAAATTCCAAATGCTGGATTACTGAGGTCTGACATTATACAAATGCTACTGCACCAGTTGCTTTCACAGATTTTGTCAGCAACAATCACAGTAAGGTAACACAGGTGGAGCTTTAAGACTCAACACTCACAGCTGTGACCACGGATCATAAAGGCAGTCACTGTAAAGTCCTGTGGGACAGGGAAAGAGCAAAAGTACAATATTCAGCAGCTGCTAAAATTACTTTGAAGTATTTTATGGAATATGGAAATTACAAACAGTGACATTAAGATAGATTCATCAGAAACAATAATTTGACTGCATAAACAAGGGCCTGAAAATGCTGTGACCTGTTTTAGGAAATAGGATTCAGAGGACTCACACGATCATCTCATAACATATTTAGAAAAATACACAATTCATTAATTACAATATAATAATATACAAAATTGCTCTAATATTAAATATGACCTCTTATGTTTCACAGTTCTTCTAGCACAGAAAATGGCTACTTCATGGGTTGTTTGAAAGAGAATTTCCTTACAACTCTGGAAGTATGGCGAAGTAGCATATTTCTTACCATGAATTTAAACAACAGAATTATCATTCACAATTATTCACATTTTAATAGTAAATCAGCTGATATTCACAGCTAGACAAGCAAGGACAGATAGACCAGCTGATTATCAAATCCAGGCCTCCATAATAACAAACAACTGACATCCAGAAGTGAACGTTATACATGAAGAAAAGTAAAAAATCCTTCAGGCCCTTGCAAGATCAGTGGAAGCTCTGAAGGACAGAATTAAGTACAGCAAAACCACATGATCAACAAACAACAATAAAGACTCTTTTTAATCCTGTTCTTTTATGACAACAAAAAATTAAGACCTTTAAAGCTGGTATCACAAGATTTTTCTAACATTTACAATATACCAGTCCTACAATGCAATCATATTTGTACACGTCTCAAAGCAGAACACTTTAGGCTCTGTCCTCATCACCCTGTATTAAAACACTCAATTCCACACACAGTGGAAATCTTCTGCTCTAAAACATCTTACCAGCACCAATCTGCACAGACATTCTTTTGATCTAAATAATAACCGATTCCAAAACTATTTACAAAGGGTCATCATGCAGGAACATCTTTAAATACTTTTTTAATAACACTGCCAAAATCCTCTATTCCTATGCACAGTGTGCAGAAAAACAGTGTTGCAAAAAAACAGCAAATAATGTATTTGCTTCAATGAAGGCAAAGGGCTTCTGCTCCCAAAGCCACTCACATAAAGAACCTCTGCTTCACTTTCCTACAGAGAGGTCCTTTGTAAGCTACAGATATGTGACCAATGCAATTGGTGTCATACATCCATTATAATGACATGTTAATTGCTTACTCCACACGTCTGAAACTGTCACACTGTCCTCCTGAAGTCCTAAATTCTGAGATCCCATTCAGGTCATTCCAGCAGCAGCAGAATGCTGCATCCGTGTACAGCAAAGCCACTCACGGCACTTAACGTTCAGGTTAACAAAACCACAGAAAGCAACTGCCACAAATAAAATATTGCTCTTTTAGGAGCAAGCTTTGGCTTTTCTCCCTTTCTAAGAATTCTGGCCACCAGTAGGTGGTGTTACTGGAAACGTCAAGTAGGGTTTTTTACCCCCTGCGGATGAAATGCAAAACTCCACCTGCAACACTGGTGTTTAATGCAAAACTGAGGCTCCTCATTCTCTGCAGGGGAAGCTTATTTCCTCCATGTGATTTTGAGCTGAGCAATTCAAGGAGTAAGAGAATGACAACATATACCTGAAAATTTAAAACAGGCAAAATGGGATCGACTTGAAGGTAGGAAAACCGAAATTTCTCTTCTCTGTTTAGCAAATGACTGTTCTAAGATGCTTGATGTGTTCAGTCAAATATTTCCCTTTAGACTGCCCAGAGGCTTTTAAAAAATAGCACAAAAAATAGTAATAATTGCTTTATATCTATGTAAAACATGCTTCATTGCAATTTGCAAATAAATCTCTTAATTATTGTTCAGCTGAGCTCTAGATTTGAACGGACTATAAAACTTTAAAAACCACCATAGGCAGAAACGAAGGTGCAATGAACATTAGGCAAAATAAAACTGACAGGTAAGAGAGAAAGACGTTTGAGTAGTTCTAGTAAAAGAGAAACCAGCAGAAACAGGGTTAATTCTAGCCTTATAAGGCTGTTCAGCAGCACTTCAACTGCACACAAATTAGAACAACCCTGGGAATCTATAAAGCTTGTTTTATTGCCAAG